TTCAATATCGTTGTAGCGCACAATCCGATCCCAAAATTTCAAATTATTAACATAAATAACTCAAAACCAATATTTACGAGATGTCAACAAAAAGGAAGATGAAACGTGCGGAACATTTAAGATCCACCAATACAATATAGAATATCCAATACCTCGAAATACCAAACCTTATCGATTCATCAAAACAAGATTTGCTAAACGGCTCATGAAAGTGAAATAACATAATAGAGTGCATCGAGTAATATAAGGACAATAAAATCATGTAAAACATGTGACAATGAGAATATACAATTAAGGAAAGTAGGGACAGGTAGCAGGTAAGCATATTATTGCGTGAGAAATAAACAAATCAAGCAACAACTAGGAACACTTTAACAAGTAAATGTCAAGTAGGAACATGCAACAATTAAAGCATATAACAAGAGATAACTTGGAATAACGAAGACATGGAAATAAATAGCCCAATCTCTCATGCTAAGTCTCATGACAGTGCATATACGCTCGTCATCTCCCATATACACTGTTTTCCACATAATTCACATAAACAGTAAATCAAGAAGTCTTAATTCCCTCAACTCAAGGTTAGACACAATATTTATCTCTTTCCGCAATCAAATCACTCAACAACGGCCTTTTCTTTAGAGTTAGCCTCCAAATCAGTCAAATCTATCCAATATAGTTCAATTAATTTAAAATAAGATTTAGAAACTACCCACGAGTGAAAAAGATTCAATCTTTAATGAATTTGAAAAAAGTCAACAAAAGTCGACCCCTGGGCCACTTGGTCAAAACCCTAGATTCGGACAAAAACCCGATTACCCATTTACCCCCGAGCCCGATTATGTAATTTGTTTCGAAATCCGACCTCAATTTGAGGTGTAAATCTCACTTTTACAAAATTTTCACATTCTACCCAAATTCTTAATTTCTACCATAAGAATCCTAGATTTGATGTTAAAAACTCACAAAAACGTAATTGGGAATTGAAAGAATGTTGATTAGAGTTGCTTGCCAATGATTTTGGGAAGAAGAAATTCTTGAAAAATCGCCTCTAGAATATTTAGAGTTGAGAAATAATGTAAAATGAGCTAACTCTGCTTTTTCCCCTTTTACCCAGTTGCAGATAGCGCAATTGCGAACTCTTATTCGTAATTGCGAACACTGCAAATTCGAAGCATGGATCGCAATTGCGGCCAATGCATCAGAAGCCCAGAAGTCGGAGATGCAACAAATTTCTCGCAAATGCGAAGGTGACCCCCATCACAAATGCGCCCACAGGCTTCGCAAATGTGACGCTGGCCATGTTGCCAGTGGTCGCAAATGCGATCAAAATCTTTACAAAAGCCACATTGACTGTTTGCAAATGCGAACCTCTTCCTCACAAATACGAGGTCCCCCAGAATGCAAACTATTGTTCGCAAATGCGAGGCTCGAATTGCGAGTCAGACCTTGCAATTGCGAGATCTGCAACCGACACCAAAAACATGCACTGCACCAGCAGTCCTCAAACTATTCAAACTCATCCGTAGCACATCTGAAACTCACCTCGAACCCCTCGGGTTCCAAACCAAACATGCATACAAGTGTAATAACATCATATAAACTTGCTCGTGAGATTAAAACACCAAAATAATATCTAGAACCATGAATCGGACATCAAAACACATGAAATTCAAAAGGAAACTCTAAGAACCTTTAGAATTACAATCAAGTGTTTGAATCCTGTCAAACCAACTCCGAATTACCAAATTTTGCAGACAAATTTTAAATAGCAAAACGGACTTATTTCAAGTCCCAAAGTCAAAATTCGAACCTGGATAACTATAAAGTTAGCCTACGGTCAAGCCTAGGAAATTTTCAAACATTCAAATTACTAACTTCCGGCAAAATAAGTCAAATCAACCTAGTAACCTCCGAATTTAATTATGGGCATATGCCCAAGTCCAAAATCACAATACGAACCTACCAGAATCGTCAAAATACTGATCCAGAGTCGTTTACCCAAAATGTTGACCGTGGTCAACTCTACCCTCATTTTTAGTTAAATTTTCATTTTTATCAAAATTTCAGATAAAAGCTTTTCGAAAAGCGACACAGACCACACACACAAACCAGGAAATATCAAATGAAGCTAATTGAGGTCTCAGAATACGGAAATAAGGGCTAGTACTCAAAACGAGCTATCGGGTCGTCATAACATTTGACAGTTTACCCTATATATTTTCTTAAATGGCATTTTGTTATTTTTATTCCTTTTTTTTTTGGTTGGGGGGGGTATTCTGTATTTGATTCACCTGTCCAGTTTATTTGGATTTACACCAAATATGCCTAAGAGAGTAAGAGTAGAACTGTTTACCAAGAAATTTTTCATATTCAGGATTCAAGCTCGAGGTCCGTAATTAAGGGAAAATTGATCATCACAACACTCTTCGGTAATATTCTTTTCCTATTTAACTTGGCTAGCTCGATAAACTTCTCAGTTAAACAATTGCGTACGCTAGCTTTGCCATCTTGATAAACTTCTGAGAAGAAAATGTCACGAAAACAGATTCATTACAACATACCAAAATCACAATGTTCGAAATCTTTTGGCCGCAAAGAATTTCAATCATAATCTTGCTTTTGCAGGAATGACATGAAATATCCAGAGGACATATTGATTGAACCATATCTATAAATCATGGAGGTGAAGCTGGCGTTTTGTAACTTTGATGCACTTTGCAGCAAGTTAAAATGGACAAATATCATAGCTAGGCTTAGAGTAGGATTCCTATTTATATTTCTAGTTGTAAGTTAGCTTGGTACTTTTGATTGGAATGGAATCTGTACAATTTCTGAGATGCTGCTTCTCTATGTATTTTCGACGTATATAATGCGAAATTATCCATAAGTCACCGTAAAAACGTTAAACAAGCAAACGGCAAAACTATATACTCTTTTTGTTTCGTTTTATTTGGCAACATCACTATTTCCCAAGTCAAAGAGGTTTTTCTTTTATCATGTTTTTTTAAAATATTTAATAAATCATTATAACATATAGTAGTACTTTTTAGGGTTCGCCTATGCTCCATTACTTTTGGCTCCATTAAACACCAATACACATGCAGATAGATGACACGTGATCATATAATTATGAAGGGCTTAAATTGCCTTTTAATTTATTCTTGTATTTTTGTGTTATTCTCCATGGAACAAGAAAGAACATGTTGGTGTCAAAAATTTTATCCTTCTAATGTACTTATTTCTTGCCAATACCAAAGCCAATCATTCCCTTCCATGAAAGCACAAACATAGCAAAGAGTGTCACAAAGCAAAAAACTATCGAGTGTATTGTATACTTATAAAAAAAAAATATTTATGAATTAATTGGTTAATAGAATAAAATTTGGTTAGTTTTTTATAAGAAAAAAATCAGTAATTAATGCCATTAATTAATAAAATAAAAAAATAAGTGCACTAGGTACATGTTTTGTCATACTCGATGTAATAGTCAGTTGGAATTATTACTGTTCTTGTTCCGGTCCGCAAAAGATGGAAAATAACAAAAAATATAAGAATAAATTAAAAGGCGGCAATCTCATCCCTTCAAAGTTATATGAACACGTGTCATTCATCTGTAGGTGTATTGATATTTATTGGAGCCAAAAGTAATGGAGCAAAGGCCAACCCTACTTTTTATATAGTTTTCTAATACATAAATTTTATTTTTAAAAACTTGAAAAATTTATATTTAAATTTACGGTCAAAATTAAGAACTTCGACCTTCGTACTCTGAAATCTTGTCACATTAACTAAAACATAGGGAATATTATTTTTATTTTAAAAAGGAAATTCTTCTTACTCAAATTTTCAATTGATTACCCAAAAGATTCACAAATTATGGTTAGTTAAAGCAATCAATGAATAATTGCACATGGAGTACATTTTGCACATTTATAAACCTATTAGTTGGTGAAATTAACCGGGCAAAAGGGATAAGAGGATTATGGGATATAGTTGGATATGTAGGCTATTAAACCCTCTCCTCAGCCTCTCACAAAAAAAAAGAACGACATATACGGCTACTTACTAACCTTCTACCGATAAGTCAAAATATTTAAAATCAACTTAAAAATAATAATACAAAAACTATTTGACTACCCAAAATAATAATATCTTATGATGAGGGCTGTGCATAATTTGATAAATACCAAATTATCGTACCAAAATAAAAAAAAAATTGGTATTTGGTATTTGATTTTTTGGTATATGGTATGGTATTTGATTTAAATTTTTAAAAAATTTGGTATTAGATATGGTATCTGGTATTTCAAAAAATAATATCGAAATATATACCAAGTTACATATTTAAACACATATTATTGATTATAATGTACTAATTTACATAATACTTTTCTTTGGCATTCATGATGAGGTTAACACTAGCTAAAACCCATAAACTTCTTTAGAAAAATAAAAGGAACAAATTAGACGGTAGATTTTGACTCTTATATTCTTCAGGTTGCCACTTATATTCTTCCGGTTGCCAAGTAGGTTAACATAATATTTTTATGATTTTAGGGTGTTTCTTACCGGTGTATTGATGTTGCATCTATTGAATTAGTTGTATCCTCTAAGTTCAGCAATTATCTCTAAGCAAGTAATAAGACATTTTCAATGATTAATTTATTCCTTTATGTACCTTTTTTTTTTCTTTTTTCTATGGATTAGTATTTGCTAATTTTGGACAAAGATTTTTGTCAACGTTAATATTCAAGCCGAACAAACCGAAGTCACCATACCGAATAAACTAAAACCAAAAGGAGAAAAGCCGAACCTTACCGAATTGAATTAGGTACGGTATTAGTATAACATTTAAGAAATCGAATACCAAAATATCTAATTACCGTTTCGTAATGCACCGACCAACGAGCACCCCTGCATGCGACAAATAGCAATTAATATACACATATATAAGTACATTGTATGCATGTCTCTGCAATCACAGGCTATCTATTACTCCCATCTTCTTCTGTCATCCCCTACTCCGTAGCTACTCTCTCATCCCCGGCGGCGTCACCATAAATCACGACCACCGCCAGCAAAAAAATGCCAGGAATTCTTCAAAAGAAATTCTACCATTGCTTTCCAAACTTCAAATGCCTTCCCACAAATCTCTCTCTATCTTTCGAAGAAGAAGAAAATGAACAAACTATCAAAAACTTCAACTCTGTTTTCGACATTCCTTCTGATTCCGCCACTTCTAAATCTCTCACTAATTCCTCCACCTTAACAGAAGATTACATCTTCTCTTCTTTTGAAGATTCAGAATATTCTGATACTGATTCCAACAATATTCCCGATTTCTCCAATGTCTTTGCATCTCAACGCTTCTTCTTCACTTCTCCTGGTAACTCCAACTCCATTGTGGACTTTCCGACGACCCCTTCGCCGGAGAAGAGAGAAGAGGCGGTGGTCAACGGCGGCGTTGCCATTCAAACTTACTCGCCTGACCCGTATTCCGATTTCCGACGATCAATGCAAGAAATGGTGGAAGCTCATGAGTTGACTGACGTGAAAGCCAATTGGGAATTATTGCATGAACTCCTCCTCTGTTATTTAAACCTTAATCCGAAACATACCCACAAATATATCGTTGGTGCTTTCTCGGATCTTGTTGTTTCTCTCATGACGTCATCGAGCGATCAAGAAAAAAGACGAAAGGTACAGCTAAACGGTGAACAGTCAACCATCTTATTGTAAAAATTGAATAGATTCAATTTACTATCATTAGGATCTTCTAAAAAGGTTAACTAAACCCAGCAATGACGATATCGGAGGAATAAGCAACAACTAACGGCTACAGCCAGAGTGGATTCAGTTCATTAGTTATGGGTTCCAGCGAACCAGTAATTTTTATTTAGAACTTGTGTTTGTATTGAAAAATCCATTAAATGTATAAGAATATTTAGCTTGGAATCTATTAATTCGTTCATCTAGTTAGTATTGTATATGAACTCGAGATTTTTGTAGGAACCCATAAACCTAAAATCTTAGATTCGCCTCTGACTATAGCCCGTGTAAATTGCACGGTATAGAGTCATAGTCACATCGGTTGGTTTAACTTTTTTTTTTCTCTCTCTATCTAAACATGTTTTGAAAGTTAGGTTTAGTTTTAAGATTTTTGTTGGATGGCTTTGTGTATGGTGTAACAAAGTTTGACATGTTTTCTTCTAAGAAGACAAAGTTGGAAAAAGAAAATCTAAGAAAACCAAGGAAAGCATGGGATGTTAACGTGCCTCGATGCATGTAATTTTTCTAACGTCTTATATTAGCACCTAGCAGTAGGAGTATTGTATAATAACAATAGGATGTTGCAGTAAAAGAATGTTTTTCCTCGTTTCAGTGAATGTTTGAATTATATTGGGAAATGCTACGGATTCTCGATTTTCTTTAAAATGATTGTCAATTAATTAAGCAGAAAATATTTATTGTGTTAGGGGAAAGTGCATGGACAAAAGAACAGCTTCTTATGTTTGTCCTAAATCTTGCTTTGTGGTCCAGACAACTTTTGGAATTGTTAAGCTGCTTTTTAGTACACAAAAGTCACAAGCAACTTCTGGCTTTCCTTTGTCCTCTAGAGAGCTAAGTGCTGCTACTGGACTTCTAGTTTAATTTGCCAGACAAATAATTTTCAGTTTGTCAAATGTTAAAGGGCAGCTCAATACACTAAACTTCCACTATGCGTGGGGTCTGGGGAAGGGTCGAATCACAAGAATCTATCGTACGCAGTTTTACCCTACATTTCTGCAAGAAACTGTTTTCACGGCTCAAACCCGTGACCTCCTGGCCATATGACAGCTGCAACTTTACCAATCAGACATTATTGTTTCATTTTCCATAATTAAGCAATAAAACAATGTATAAATGTTTTTATTTTATGTTGCAAGAGAAACCCCTCTATATAAGGTCATGTATTGTGCCAACGGGTCGTTGATATTGGTAATTTAGGTATAAGTTGATAATTAATCTACTATCTGTCACGACCCGGAATTTTCATCCCCGGAAGTCGAGATGGTGCCTACTCATAGAAGCTAGGCAAGCTACGAACTTAGAAATCTTTAACTCTTCTGTGTTAATCCTTTTTACAACTCATTTTAACAAGTGATAAACACCTACATGACAACGGAATATGAGATTTAAGCGGAAGTCTTAAATAAATATAAAACCAAAATGTTTCGAAAGTCAACACATGCCTCTACCCAGAAACTGGTGTCACAATATCCACAGACTACTAAGAGTACTACATACAACAATTTTGAAGGAAAAATAACATTGTTTGTCTCGGATACATGAGATAACAGAACATCATAAAAGATAGAGGAGATGACGAGCCTGCGGACGCATGCAAGGCTACCTCGGTGTCTTGGTGGACTGAAGGCTGGCTCCTCTACTGCTGCTGATCAAGTGCCGCTCCGCTATCTGCACAGAGTGCAGAGTGTAGTATCAGCACAACCGACCCCATGTGCTAGTAAGTGTCTAGCCTAAATCCGGCAAGGTACTGACGAGGCTAGGACTAGACTCCAGATAAACCTGTGCAGTTATATAATATACAGCAGAAATATAAACAGGTAATAACAGTTTGAAAGGGAGGGGGAAACATGCTTCGGGAAAACATATTAATTCTATCAGAAACTTAATAAAGTATGAAAGGACACTCGACGTCTATAATTAATACAATAACAATAATGTTGCGGCGCGCAACCCGATCCCTTATCATTTAACATTGTTGTGGCGTGCAACCCGATCCAATATAATATCTAATAGTGTTGCGGCGTGCAACCCGATCCAATATAATATCTAATAATGTTGCGGCGCGCAACCCATTCCAAATATACAGTCCACAATAATCATAATTAACCGTCCAGCAAGGGATCAACAATAGACTACACTATCCCAGCAAGGGAACTCCACAGTACAAGTATATACGTCCCGGCGAGGGAGAAACAGCCATAGCCAAACTTGTTCCAACACCTAGCTATCTCAACTAGTTTCAACATCTAACTACCTCAGCTATGACTAAACTTGTTACAACACCTAACTACCCAGTTATAACCAAACTTGTTACAATACCTAACACGAAGAATCATCAACCTAGGCGTCAGTAATATCAATTAATAACACAATGCAAGGGAACCTCAATTCAACAATAGCCCGGCAAGGGGCAACATAATTATCTCTTTTCTTTCTCACTTTTACTTCATAATTCACTTCACAACTCGAGCCAATGCTCTAGAGTTTCGATTATCACTTATACTTTCACAATTCATTATACAACTGGAGCCAACGCTCCTAAATGTTCATAGGTCACAATTCTTTCCACAACTTTACACTACAATTAGAAATCTTCACCAAGGCATGAATAATACAACGAGATCATGAAAATCACAAGATAAGACTCACGGTCATGCTTGACATAGATACTCGTCACATGCTTATACGTCGTACTCGATAAGAAACAAATAGCAAATAGGACACAACTCTTAATCCCTCAAGCTAAGGTTAGACCAAACACTTACCTCGATGCCTCGAACACAACTCAAGCTTCAATTATAGCTTTACCCCTCGATTCCTCCGCCAATTCGCTCGTATCTAGCCACAAGTTACTTACTTACATCAATAAATGCTAAATGAATCAATTCTAATGCATGAAAATAGGTTTTATAAAGATTTCCCCAAAAAGTTAAAAATCGCCCCCGGGCCCGCTTGGTCCAAACCCGAAATTCGGACCAAAATCCGATTACCCATTTACCTCCGAGCCCGGATATATAATTGGTTTTGGAGTCCGACCTCAATTTGAGGTCTAAATCCCCAAATTTCAATATTCTTAGGTTTTACCCAAAATTCCCAATTCCACCATGAAAATAATTGATTTGAAGTTGAAATCATGTTAAAAGATGTTAATGATTGAAGAAAACTAGTTAAACATTACTTACAATTGATTTGGAGAAGAAAGGTTGTTTGAAAAATCGTCTCTTATATTTTTGGGGTTTTGAAAAATGAAAATAACTGGAAATCCCGTCTATTTATACCCCTCTCAGACCCTCTTCGCAGACCGCATAAAAAGGACTGCGGCCGCGGAGCTCCATTGCGGACCGCATAAAAAGGACTGCGGTCGTGGAGCTCCACCGCGGGCCGCAAGAAATCGAGCATGGCCGCGGAGGCTTCACCTTGCTCACCGCGGACCGCACAAATCCCACCGCGGTCACGGAGCCCCCACCGCGGCCGCGAAGTTTCCACCGCGGACTGCGAGACCTGGCTTCAGAGACCTGCAACTTCTCTGAATCTGCAACTTTTTCCTGAGTTCAAAACTTGGCGAAACACATCCGAAACACACTCGAGCCCTCTGGGCTCCTAACCAAACACACGTACTAACTCAACAACATCATACGAACTTATCCATGCAATCAAATCTCCAAAATAACCTCAATAACAATGAGTCAAACCTCAAAATCAAGAACTTTTTCTCAAACTTCATCAAGTATCAAATTTTGCAATTTAGGTCCGAATAACGTCAAACGACGTCCGTTTTCAACCAAACTTTACAGAAATGACTTAAACCATATATAAGACCTGTACGGGCACCGGAACCAAAATACGGAACAGATACCATCTCTTTCTAATCAAACTTCATTTCAAATTTCCTAAAAAAATTTAAAAAAATAATTTCCTATAAAAAATTTATTTCTCGGACTCGGGACCTAGGAATTCGATTCTGGGCATACGCCCAAGTCCCATACAAGTCCGGTCAAATTTATTCATTTTATAGTCAAAACTTATTGTCACACCTCCTTTTTCCATACCCGAGAGGGTACAAGGGAGTTTTTCCAATTAAAGGACA